AGATAGATAAATGTACCTAATTTATTGATAGTTCTGTGTGACCTTTTGACGGTCCCTGTCATTTACTTTTTGTAGTCTACTGGAGCAGTTATTTCTATTATGCATGGTTAGGCTCTATAGAACTGTGTTAGGTGTCAGTAACACGTCACTGGAAATTTAGGTTCGTCCTTAAGTTTTGCACGCAAGTGTACGTCTGTAAAAAACGAGAAACGGAGGAAAAGCCCGAGAAACAGCTACTTTTGTTATGGGCGCAATGTGGCTCGGGGGGGGGCCAGTCGCCGCGCGCGGCTCAGCGATGTAGTGTAACTCGAACATTCCAGCTTCTCACGGAACATTCCAGCTTCTCACGCATGCTAAGTGACTGCCCTCACCCCCACCCCCTGAATTGGCTAATCCGTATCACAGAGTCCGCCATTTACATAGCTACGAGTGCTATGGCGATCCCATGCTGTTTGTGCTCTGCACTGAAAAGTCGCTTAAGTGAGCTTATCCTGGGCGTCTAATAAACTGTAAAGTATGTGTGGAACTTTTCTCGGACGGTTGTTGCCAGCCTGCTTCGCAAAAATTTCTCTCTGCTGCTGTTCTTTGGTTGATGTTCTCCTTTGGTACTATCTAATACAATATGTAATTCGAATACAAATAATATATCTCTTGCTCAAATCCAAGGCCAAATGTGGTCATTCCAGTATCAGGCTAGTGGTCCACCGAAAATCTCGTGACCAGCAGATTTTTCGAAGCTATCGGGGCAACTTGCAGTGTGGCAATTGCTATACTTCACTCCAAAGTCAAACAAGTGAAGATGGGAAGTAAATATCCGACCGGGTCCTCCAGGGCAAAGAGAGCCCAGGTTCAGATGAAGAGTTTTGAATCGTGGAGATCTCATAGAATTACCGTAGCGCACTTAGAGCATGGTTGTGAGTGGTTCATGGTCAAGCGTTCTTCACAACTTTTACGTCTTAGCGCGTGAGATAAGACGTGAAAATTGTGAAAAACTGAAAAATAAGATCGTCCTTCGTGCTTTTTGGTGAGGGACTCGTCCCGCAGAGTCGTCGTTGACGCTGCTCTCTGCAGATCGTTGCTTTTCCATTTCATCATTGAGTACCCGACAGGAAGCCCGTGCGAGAAGGCAGCTACGCAGACGGATAAGCGGAATAGTCGCAGCACGTATTGCCGATGTGAACGTACTACAGTGCGTACCAAAAGTATGTGGACACCCTAGAATCGATTCTCAGGAGTCAGCTAAAGGCTTTTTGTGTTATGAAACCTTCACCATTCAACTCCTAGTGGTCGATAACCTACAATGACATTTCGGCAAAAGATTTCGTTCTAACTTAGCGAACTATTTTTCATGGAAA